ATTCAGGCAGACAAAGCAGTAAAAAAAGTCAAGAAAGCCTGTGAGCCACTGTTTTTTGACACCAGGTTGATAGTGCTATAATATATTAATAGCCAAGATAATAAGTGTCCAAAGTACAATTACTGCAGTGATCAACTATTAATACCTGAATGTGCTTCACCAGTACAGACACTTGAGTATTCTTATTCCAAGGTTCAATCTTCATAGTCTTTTGTTTCTTTAGATTGACCTAAACTTACCTAAAGTACTTATCTAAAGTATTAAAGTGTGGTTTTCACATTCGTATGGTTTGTGCGTAGGAAGAAATTTTCTGGACCTGAATCTTTTTCCACTCCTGCATTTTGACTTACAGTGCTGTCACACTCTCTTTCATGTTGTAAATGCCTATAATGAGGATTCAGAGGAGCCTCTCTTTCACTGTAAGTTTAAGAGACAATTTGATCTCAATTGTACTGTGAGTCGTTTGGAGACAAGTGATATAAGTGATTCGGTTACCCATCTGTCACAAAACCAGTCCCTTGCTGTGGTTTCTATGAAATCCACCTGGCCAGTATATTTACTTTCTGGGATCCCATATACCTATAAACGACCTTATTATTCTGTTGAGTGTGATTTTTCCAGAAGATGTTGCGAATCTGACAGGAAATAGTATTTTTTGTACTATACCTGTGACATGCAAGTATTTCAATTTCTCTCAATGGAACTCAGACAGCAACTGCTGTTCTACATGCCTGGCTTTAGGCATATCACACAGCTGCAGCCACTCAAACCAGAGGAAAAAGATCTCTACCAGGTACAGCATATGGATGGCTAGCTTTGCTTGATGCACAGAGTATAGTAAGGTGGACATGTATGAGGGCATCACAGTTTTATGCTGAATTTTCTGAAGGGCTGGATAGGGCATTTAAGACCCTAGCAGAATAGTAACAGAATCTTCTGAATCTCTACAAAGGAGAAAAATAAAACAAAATTGTAAGTATGACCAACTAATTGTAGCCATTGAAGAGGGAGAAAGAACTGGAATGATGTAAATACTGGAGCTACTAAATATTCTGCTTGTCACTCTTTAGAGAAATAAATGAATGCATCTGAGCCTTTAAAAACTAGGACATTGTGTATTCTCTGGTTTTGTGTGTTTATGTCTTTCTACAATCTAATACAATGTCTCCTTCCAACCAAGGCCAATGTTTGCTCATTGACGCTGAGAACACAGCATATCTGACGAAGGTTTATACATCCAGTGAACTTTAGAGAGGTAGTTCATGATGCTAATTACAAACAAACAAACAAAACTAATAAAACTAATTTAGGCACTGATTACCCAACTGCAATTTATACAAGTGTTGAAAGATGAAATCTGTTCAAAATCTTTACTCAGGTGTTTGAAGGTGTGTTTACTGTCTAAAAAATCGGTGCAGTTTAGTGTAATGATTTCTGAACTGACTATAAGTTAGGTAGGCTGGGGATAAAATAGAGAAGCTCAAACAAGACATTGATTTAACACTGATTTAATTGTGTATTTGGACTTACTACAGAATTCAAGTTTTTAATTGCTCCATAGTTCACTGTCTTAATAGGTTGGCCATCATTTATACTAAAATTATCCACATTGATCCATCAGTATGAAAGGTATTAGAGTGGCCTCCATGTTAGTGTGGCCTCTTAGCAGGGAATTCCCACCAAGGTTATGAGGTTCAGAATGCCATCATTGCTGCTGTTATGGGGACACGCTGTGAGTAGAATAAACTGACACGTTGTTAAATACTTTTAGCAAGATGGGATGTTTTCTTCCCAACACAGCTTGCTGAACAGGAAAGCAGTTATCACATATCACATTCAAGCAAGATAAAATGCAGAATGAGGACAGGAATTATGCTATAAAATGATTTTTGCAAAGGAAAGAACTCGTGACAGAAGAAAAAAGTCCAGGTTTGCTGGACAGCAAGGAGAAGGCAGGGCATGCAATCATGAATGTGGATTAAAATTTAGCAGCTGGGATCTAAGTCTTTGCAGACGTGGAAAAAATGTTGGATCGATGACTGACCATTTCCAGATGTCAAGTGAAATATACATATTTAAGATAGCATAATACCCCAGATCAGGAGCATATACCATGTAGAACCAGGCCTACTGGGGCTTCTGGAAAGCACCAGAGATCATGTGAAATTGTCAGGGTCATTGTTAGAAGTCAGAACATGATACATTGCTTCCAGTTCTGAAAATAGGGGTGCTGCCAGCTGAAAGTAGGAGGAAAATAAATGCATGGAGAATCTTGAGTTCAACTTCTTTGTGATGCTGACTTTTTGATCTTCTAGATTGTTTGTAGAATTACTGCAGCTGTATAGAGCTTAGAACAAAAGTGCTAGAGAAACCAGTGGTAGGTTCTGTCTGTTTGGACTAGGTCATATGTTGCTTTTCTCTTTTTTTGTTTGTTTGGTTGGCTGTTTTTTTGCCGATGTGGCCAATGGTGTGATTTCCTGCAGGAGCTATGAGGCTGGGTGCATTACAGTTAAATGCATCTTTTATCTATCTGACTTCTCTGGGGAGGTCTCTGAGGCATGGTCCTTGCTGGCTGTGTGCCCACGCCACACCCTGCACAGTGCAAGTGAATAATAATAGCAGTTTTCTTACAGAGAGTGAGGGAGGACAGGCATGTGTCTGGCACAAATAAGCCGCATTCTGCCTCACATGGTGGCTGGCTGTGGGGAGGCAAGGGGGAGAAGGAGAGAAGGGGACGAGTGGGGCAGGGAGGTTTTTGTGCCACTTTTATCTCTGCAAGGGTCAGTCCCGGATAATGTGCTGCTTCTTTTGAATTGTAGAAGTGCAGCAGTGACTACAGATCCTGTTTGCCTTCTGTAGCCACCTCTTCTGCGTGAAAATCCTCTCTCTCCATACTGCAGAAGGTAATCCAGCAAGCTTTTGAAATTATAGTGCACTGTGATGCTCTGAAAATCGAGGAGAATGATGCATGTTTTTCCAAACCTCCTTCACATACCAGACACCGTCAAGATTATTTTGCCTTTGCAAGTGCACAAATCAAGCTTCTGAGTGTAACCAGGAACTCTCCCCTCCCCCTGGCTTTATGGATGTGGGATTTCACTTGCAGCAACGGCTCATGCTCTGTATGGGAGCCTCTGTTACGTTTTTTCTCTATGCCAATCCATCCCCCCGTGGAGAGAGTTTATAGCAACCAACAATGAACGGAGAGGATTGGGGCAGATGTGAATAAAGGGCTAGTGAACATTTTTAGCTCCAAAGAATGAGCTGTGATCACTTGATTCCTAAGCAGGCAGAATTGCAGCGTCTGGTTGGTACATATTGAGTGCTTTTTGTACGATGTACTCTGCCTGATTCCTGTCTTCTTTATCATTGCTAATAACATTACATTTGATTAAAATACCTTAATTGCCAAAAGTAAGATAACTCACCCACAAATAATATTAGGTGCCTCTTGCTTGTATTTTTGAGTTACTTTTTATGCTGATGTTCTTACTGGTAATCTGTGTCAGCTATTTCAGACTCATGTTTAATAGTTTAAACATGCACAGATGTATTTAATATATCTAATACAATGATGTCATGTGTGATGCCTTATATATGACATATATATATAAGGCATATATTAAGGATTCTGTTAACAATCTCACATTACATTTCCATTGTATGAAGATGCATAATTTATTCACACACCAACATCTACATGTGTGCAAAAGCTAATGTGCGTGTCATGTATATCTAATGTAGTAGAAAGTATGCAGAATCTTCTTCTTGAACCCATTTCTACACATTTAGCATCTCGTTTCCCTCTTAGCGCGTTATGCACAAACATGCGATTTAAGTACAAGTGGGTAGATATTCAAAGATTTGTAATCTTTGCAACATTTTGTTATTTCACATCACCAATGTGAAACACTTATTCAGCACAAAATGTCTCTCTGCTTTCTGCAAAAGCTGCCATCTTTTTTTTTTCTTTCTTTCTTCAAATCCTCTGACCTCCCTTGGGAAGGCTTTTATGCATGTTCAGTATGCTCACACAACTATTTCTACTAGCACTGTTACCATAGAAACCTAGTGATGTTTTTTTTCCTTTCCTGCCCTGTCAGGGTTTGGACCTAGTGCCAGACCTCTTTGCTGTTAGCAATGATATTTTTTCAATATTTGGACAGCTCTTTAGGAAAAAAATCTGTTGTTTACATTTTTAAGATGTAGTATTTTATTTCAGGATGCAATTTTTCAGGTATTAACATCAACCAATTGATTTACATATTTCAAGGATCCAGACAGCTTTTCTTTTGCAACTCTTAGACCATGACATTTTGTAAGGAAGATTCTACAACTGTTTATTAATTGTAGATGTCAACTCAGAACCAGATGAATTGATTTGTTTAATAGGCCAGTGGATTGTGGCTCACATTTTGATTTTTTTTAATACTAACTTTCAACGTTTCGTTAGAATGCACAGAAATGGCTCAGCCACAGCTAATCATAAAAAGAGATGTGTAATTAATTATTATATAATTTACAAGTTATTGATAGGCATCATGTGTAGCGCTCACATTACCAGCTGCCTCATATAAATTTTTAAGCATTTTGATTCTCTGACAACATATCATATTGATTTTTTAAAGGAATCCACTGTCAGTTACATACGTAGCATCATAACTTCTGTTTAGATGGAATAAATTATTTCAATTAACATGACATACAAAATGTTGCTTTTCATTGAATTGTCTGAAATATAAAGTATAATTTGACTTAAGCAAAACATACACACATTATGTAATGTGTATCCATGTTACAACATGGATAGTACATTTGTCTGATAGATTTCAGATGCTGAATTCATTAGCTGATGTAAAGTATTATACTGAAATCACATATTTTCCAGAAATTGTGTCTGCTAGTAACAAACACCTTATTTTTCAGGTGCAAATTGCACCAAGCAAAATGTGACAGAAGGGAGAGCTGAAATGGTTTGAACTTGCATTTTTGTCTTTTAGGCAAGCAATGGCCTTGCAGACTTTTGTCCAAAACAACTGAGTGTCCTGTAATGTAATTATGAGCAGCAGGGCCACCAGAGTGAGCTTTGGTCTTCTTCATTCCCTGCAATATCTGTTCGACGTAAGAGGTAATTACAGTCCTGCAAAGATGAAAATGGATTATATCACTTTATGGTGTGTTTCATGTGCATTTGTTCTTCAGGGACAGGAGAGGGAGCAGTTCTTCCTTCTCATTATCTGCATGCTATATTTGGCCCCCATCCCCCTCTATATCCCTCTTGCCAAATGCAAACCTGCCTGGCCATAATCCGGAGGTGGCTGAGTTTCACTGTGGGGGCACCAGGCTCTGGGACAGGGTGAAGGGAGACTGACCACCCACTTCGTCCCCAGGGAACAAAGGTGAAATTCTTTCTGGGTTGCCACTTTCCCTAAGGATATCAGCATCCTTTGTGCTCTACTGTATATTTTTATTAATAACATTTTTTTTTTTTTTAATTTTAAACTGCCTTATCGTGATAAAAGAAGAAGCGGTGGTGTGTAGTCAACTGGAGTGAATGTGTACATTCTCCAGGCCCAGTCTTGTGAGACTTTGTCCCACTGTTGTTCCCACTCAGAGCTGAGCAGAAACCATGCACATCTGAATAACAGGGGCCCTTTCTGCCTGTTGTAATCCTGGATTGTTACAGTCTAGGGGCCAGCCATGCTGTCACCGTCACAAATTGATTTAACCATCAATTGCAGTGGTCATTAAAGCTGCTAGAAGTCCCAGCCAAGCTGATGAATTGCAGCTGAATGTGAAATGAGCCTCCAAGACTGTTTCCCACCATCTCATATCAAAGCCTATTGTGTCTCTCCAAAGTAAAGGGTCGGAGGTTCAGCCTGGAGTTCAACAATGGGTTTAGTCAGAAGATAGAGCCCCCTTTGCCCCAGCATTCCCAATTACAGTTTTTTTTTCCATGCCTTATTGTGCAGTATTTGCATCCAACTAATATGTTGAATTATTGACATACCCCAGTGTCAATGGAGCTTTTGAAAGATTTATCCCCCAAAGATATGGAATCCCAAGCATCTGTTGGCTCCCCAGTAGTGACAATGAAATGATTCCCTGGTTTTCCTCCTCTGGCAGCCTATTCGACTGATCTGATCTGAATGGCTATCTTTACTCAGCAGAGATTAGCTGTTTCCAGGCCTCACACACAAAAAAGCCCAAGTCTGCTTCTGGAAGTCTTTTTCCTTCAGATGTATTGTTCCCTGCACTTGATTTGCTACTCATTTTTATATAGCACTTAAATCTGCTAGACTTGCGCTTAGTGTCTGTTAGTAACAGGAGAAAAAGAATGAAAACATTATCTGATGTACTCCCATTCCTTTTTTTTTTTTTTTTTTTCTGTCTTTTTTTGTCCTGCCAAATCTGCATGATTGATATAGTCTTCTTGCATTTTTGGCTTGCTATTAAGCTACACATGGTACAGGCTACCAGATGAAATTGTATCCCTTGTGCTCAGGGGGAGCATTTGCATGCTGGGCACACAAGCTGTTTTCCTGTGCAAAGTGTCTTGTCAGAGTCCCATCCCTGTGGGTGAGGGACTCTGGAGTGCAGAATCTGAACTAAGACACTGCAACTGTGATTGCATATATGCAGTCTGGGAAGGTTCCTGCTGCACACGTGGGCAGAAAAAGAAGTTAGAAAAGAAGGGTGGAGCATTAAGTAAAGAGGTCACAGGTCCAGACGATTCCGATGTATTAATAATGAGAAAGCAGACAGCTTTAGGTCTGTATTTGCCTAGGCTGTGTTTACTACAGACTGAGTGTCTCCACTAAATCTGTGTGGAGATGCTGTTAGCAGAGGACTAACTGCTACCACTGGCCTGTGTTCCTCCATGTCTCCCATGAAGGTCATTGGGTGACTGTTGCTGAAAGCTTTGCCATCTCAACAACAGAATGAAGAGATGAATAAATAAATACATATACTTTTTAGTTAAAAGGCTCTTTAAATCTAGTTGTGTCACAGAAGAGCAGTGCTTTTGTTGACCTCTTCCATCTTTCTGAACTTTGGACTATTTCACTGCATGTAGCAGTGAACTTTCCTTAATGGAAAATATCATTGCTGCTTTAATTCTTTTCTGGCCTTACATATTCCAAGTGAAGCATCTGAAAAGTCCATCAATCCATGCTAACACCAGATTGTCTCCACAAAAAGCTGGATTGAATGAATAGGAGTTTGAAAAAATAGAACGGAAGTCTGTCCAATTAATGGCTTGGGTAGTGATTTCATGTCTTGTGATAAGTAAGATTACAAAAAACTCAAATAAACAAAACAAACAAAAAAAGCAACCCCAAAGCCTACTCTCTACTGTGACAAGCTAAAGAATTTTCACAGCTTAAAAAAAAAAAAAAAAAAAAAAAAAAGCCAATGGCAAATAGACAATAATATGGCCAACAGAAGACTCTCCTGAGTTGGAGACTCAAATTTCCCCTGTATTTTTTCATGGCATGAATCACCCACCAGATGATATGAAACCACTGTATGTTGATGAATTTATTTCTTTCAGTCTCTTTTCTGAGTCAACAAATATTAATTGGGCCAGAGGCATAAACGTGAAGCTCTCAAAAACTCTCTTTCTACTGTAATTACTAGGCAAGGAAGCCAGGTGCAAGACTGGGGCAGCATCACCCTGCCTGTGCAAGCTAAGTGCCAATAATCAGGGAGAGGACAATGGAAGGTGAAATTAAAAACTGGCAGTTCCTTGTCATGCTACTCTCTGTACATCCAGGAACTATTCAACTATCACAGTATGAAGCCTGAATAATAAGAGGAATGGAGCACAGACTGTAGTCAATCCACCTACTTTATCCAAACTCCAGTAATATGGGAAGGTACAAATGAGCCTGCATATAAATTCAGATATGTTTGAAACAAACTTTTCCTCTGAGACCGTTCTTGTTTCTCAGCTGAGCTATTGGACGTATCCTTCTATGTGGTTTTTACTAAAGATGAAATCGGTAATATTACAGCTACTGTCATGTAATTTTCTCAGTTCATTTGAACCCTGGAATATGATGGTCTGAAATCACATAAACAATCTTAGCACACTATCATTGCCTAGCTCCAAGGAAGCAAGTCTACATCAAGATTTGACTTTAATGGGAATAAAGTTCCCTTCAGCTCTTCTGTTGAAATTGTCCTTGCATTAACTCCTCTGCAGATCAAGCTGAAGAACAGTGTCATGATTTCCCAAGTCTCGAAGCCTGTTTTCTTTCTCAAAGCCTAGAAAGCTGTCCATTTCATGGTTACTTGCTGAATTGAGCTGTATGGGAAAGGACCATGGTGTCTTGGTGGGCAATCAGTTGGCCACAAGAAAGCCAGTGATATCTGGGGATTCACTAAAAAGAGCGTGGTCAGCAGCTTGAGAGAGGTGATCCTCCCCCTGTCGTCTGCCCTGCTGAAGCCACATGTGGGGTACTGTGTCCAGTTCTGGGCTCCCCAGTTCAAGAAGATTAGGGTCCTGGAGTGTCTTCCTTATTGAGGAAAGGCTGAGAGACCTTGTGTTTCCATCATGGAAATGACTGAGAGGGGATATTATCAATCCTTATAAATACCTATAGGGCAGAAATCAGGTGTATGGACCCAGGCTCTTTTCAACAGTGCTCAGTGACAGAACCAGGGGCAATGGGCACAAACTGGAATACAGGAAGTTCCATAAGAACATGAGGAAAAACTTTACTTTCAGGATGACAGAGCACTGAAACAGGCTGCTCAGAGAGGATATGGATTCCCTTCTCTGGAGATATTCAAAACCTGCTTGGCCACTTCCTTGTGTAACCTACTCTATGGAATCTGCTTTAGCAGTGAGTTGGACCAGATGATCTCCAGAGGTCCCTTCCAACCCCTACAATTCTGTGATTCTATTGTTTCTGTGATTCTTTGTGACTGTGAATCCCAACTCTGCAACATTTAAAGCAGTTATTGAAAAACTTTGTTTCTTTATGGGCTGTCAAGACAAAGACAATCAAGAAAACTTCTATTTCAGTGAAGAATAAAGACTCTTATGTTACAAGGACTTATCTCCCATTGGCATAAATCAAGGCTTGACCTGGCAAAATTTGTATTCATAAAAATATCTAAGTATCTTGTCAGTATTGAGTTCCTAGTGGAATAAGATACATTTTACCCTACAGAATAGGATCCTCCACTGCCACTGATGACACATCTTATTTGCAATATTCAGCTATTGCAGTGAACAGCTTAAGCTGCCATAGAAAGCGATTTCTTCTTTGAACAGTGGGGAGGAAGGAATTCTCTTTCCCACAGCTTTAAGTCCTTGGGATCCTAAGCTTCTTTCTCACAGTGAAGTCCAGTTCTTCCCAGTGCCTCTGATGGTATTGCTTCTCAGCACTGAGCTGCAGAGAGTGCACGCAACCATCTAAGCACATCCTGCTTGGCTAACATGCACACACTGGCATGTGTTCTCATGGTGACAGCCCTCATTTGGGCCCTCCATTCTCCTGGCTAGGCACTTTCATAATACATCGAAAAACCTGAAGACTTCACATTAATATGTGAAGTGTATTTAAAGGTTCAAGAGTGATTAGCAGACAGCCAGCGCACATTTCATGTCGTCAACTATACATCTGGTCTAATGACAAGCAGGGTAAAAACTCAGGAGACTTCAGCAGAAGAGTTGTTGGGATACAAGAGGCCTAGTTTTAAAAGTATTGAAATGTAAAGATACTGAATTTGTATTTTGATTATGCTTGGTTTTATTGTGCGACACTGAAAACAAGGCGCTTTCTCCTCAAGGCAGACGATTATTTTGGAAATGAAACTCAGATTGGTACCTTCTTAAGCTATTAACTTGCGTATGATTAACTTACTAGCTTCTGTAGTATGCCTTCTCTGACGTATATTCACTTCATAGTCTAGAATGCAGATTAAATTGAACAAAATAATATATTTTTCATCCGTGTTTCTGTGATCAACAGATGCAAGATATTAATAACAGTAATAATGTCACATTAAAGAATAAGTATTTTATATAGAAATCTATTTGATATAAGTAGTTTTGGAGGAATAAAAATTTACAGCTTGTTTTACAGAAGAATGCTGTTACTATTCATTTTT